AGGGCCCCCAGTTGCCATATCGTTCACATGCAGGAAACCTTAACCCTTATATTTACCCGAGACACGTTTGCCCCACGTTACTCCAGTGGCTGTAGCTAAACACAAAACGGCACTAACTGCGGCCAGAAATGGAACATAATGATGTGTTGGGACCTGTTACATGGTCCGACCATGGGTTCATATCTTCCCATTCCCATGCAGCAGTAACGAATGTCAGCACTGATGCTGCTTGGTAGCACGCTCACTTGTATTTTTGTTCAGGTGCTGTACGAACTCTTCTCTGCAGTGATTGGGAGAGACCACTCAAGTTCAAAATTCATCTCCTTTTTACTGTCTCATTGAAAGGCCGCCATTATTTCGCTAATGAGGTTGAGATATACGACGACTTCTTGGGCGATCAGTACTGAGTTAGTGTTCAGTGTTCCGGAGACTTTCCGTCTCCATCATCAGGGCTTGCTGGAGATAGTGTCCTAAACGTTGTACACTGACTCCATATTATGGACACGGCTGATGGCCCCAGAGTACCCCACTACATACAGTCCCAGTGGAAGCTACATATCATATATCATATATATTTCGGGCTGTGTAGTTAGAATTCATTGGCTGATTGCAGGGTGCATTATGAATACCATGGATTTCAGCTGTAGGCAGTGCCATGTGCCAGATGTGCTCCTAGTTGCATTCACAACTGGAAAAACGCCTGTCGTCTTCATAAGCTCCGATAAATTCATGAAACTGGAAGATCTAGAAATTTGCGAACTGTTCTTGCAGATTGGGGCACGCGGTAGCGGTAGTTGGTTGAGGCACTATGCTACAAGCCGGAAGTTCCCGGGTTCAAGTCCCGATGATGTTATTGTTTTTTTTTTTCATCCTTCCAGCCGCACTATGGCTCTAGGGTCGACTCAGCCTGTGACAGAAATGAGTACCAGGAATGTTCTTGGGGGTAAAGGGCGGCCGGCGCGTAGGGCTGACAACCTTGCCGCCATCTATGAGCCGATTGTCTAGAAAATGTGGGAACCTCAACATCTCACAACTCTAGGGGCCTCCACGGCCTGTTACAGGGATACCTTTACTTTTTTTATTATTATTATTATTATTATTATTATTTATTTATTTCAGATTTCAGACCGATAGATGGCTGGATGATAGTAGTTGGTGCTCGTGAGATAAACCGAAGCTAATCATGTAAAACACGGAACTTTACAAAGAGTTTAATAGAATTAGTGGAAATTAGTATTTCTGAGCTCAGTTTGCATTATTCAGTCTGTATTGTCCCCCAGTGATTGAGTCACCCTTGGTTAGACGGATCGATACACGGGTTGTTACAGTGAGCATGCAAATTGATAAGACCAGAGTTATTTAACTTAAAGAAAGCAAAGACTTTCTGTTAGATCCAACTTTATAAATTCATTTTTAATATTTTGTTATTTATAACGCTGTGTATTTCGGGGAAACGCATCGCCTTCACCATCAGCGTCGAGGAGTAAGCGAAGCAAGTAACAGATGGAGGAGGCAGGATGCTCATCTTGCCGTCTACTTTTGTCGGTTTCGTGCCTGGTTTATTCTTCAACCCTGAAGGTGGAGGCAGTCTCTTTCTCCGAAAAGCTGGACTGTCTCCTCACTACAAAGTGTTAAACCCAGAAGATCACACTCTTCAGAGACGCTGCTGTGAGAACCGGTAATGACGATGCAGCACTGCTTGATGGATGTGCATGGCGAAGGTCGTCAGAAACTGACCTGAGGTGGGAGCACGGCGTTGCAGAAGCTGGGAAAGATGACGTATAATTGTGGCCGCGAGGTGTAGAATTCTCATCTCTCACGTCATCTCCGTAATACGTGCAATAGGGCCGCACCTGTCAACCTGTGGTTAAACGATGCAGACTAGAGGCTGTGTTTGTTAGACTGGCAAGTCTGCCCTTCGCTAAATGAAACACATGAAATGCAAGGCATGCGTTGCTTGTCTGGTGAAGCGAAAGGTTCGCATTATTTCATAGGTATATTTTTTGTATGATTATTTAATGATATGGATAAGAGGACTACAAAATTTATATCGGCAGTAAATAGTCTTCCTTTCATGTTCACTTTCTGCTGCCAGCTGCATGACTTGTTGCAGTGCAGTGTAAACAAACGCTCCTGAATGGGTGGCCACATCATTACAGGATCAGGAAACCCACTTGTCATGCAGTAAATGAGCGCCTTTAAGAGCAGTCTCTGTGTTGAGTTTGTTATTTGTATCATGTGATCGGTACGTTAACAGGCTCATATCGGGTGGGGGGTATCGTCCGAAATGGGAGAAGGGACATGGAAGATCTTGACACATTCCTATTAGTTTGTAATTTACAGTATGACGTTGCTGTCTTTAAATCTGTCATTTTTCCTCTCTGAAAATGAGTTATTGAGACTTGATTCTTTTACATTTTTTTAATATAATAATAAAACACAAGTTTTGGTATATCAGGTAGGTATGATCCACACTATACATTTAAAATCCTCGTATAACTTTCTAGTGATGCCATAACGGTCACTGTCACTGCTTGATGATGACACACACTCAACAGACGTTTTGTCCGGGATTCAGTACCACGAAATAATGTTAGTCTGGCAAGAGCCAAGTAAATTTGTATATGCCTAGAATCTGATAAAGGTTTGAAAGTCTTTAGAATTCACAATTCTTACGTTCAAATAAACTTCACGTTCATAAGATTATATTACAGCTCAACACATTATAAGTATTTATTTGTTCTAGTAACTTACAATTAATTCCCATGTGGAGGCTGGTTAGAATAGTTCCACCGTGGCCCTGTCGGTCATAGAGAGCGACGACAATGGAACCTGGTGCCTGGGAATATAGTTGGGCCACCCTTCCACTGGGGGACATAAATACGGAGACTTGATCCTCCAGGTTGGACGCAACGGTGACGACCTTGCTCTGTAAAAAAATATTTTGCAAAATTGAAAGAAGTGAAAACCGAATGGTCTAATTTACGTTGAACGACAAATCTGGCAGAGTCTTCTAAGGAAGGCTGTGGCTCAAAACGGTCTGCTTTGCCAATGATGATGACGGTGTACGTGTCATTAATGCATGTCTTGCTTTTAATTTGTTCCATTCCTCCACAAGCCATAATTTTATTTCTTTCAGTTTTACATTTCAGTGTTCCTTTCTTTTATACCCTTCTCTAAGCAGCCGTCTTGGATCTATGTACTCCCTATGCATACTCCATTTTGTTTCTTCCCAGACCGGATCTCTACCCAGTTCTTGATCCCCGTAGTGTTTGCTTATTCACCAATTTACATATACGCAACGAGTCTTTTAACCCTAATTAAAATCACATAGTACATTACATGTTTCCACCGTCATTCATCATCAGGCGTTTTAAAACTGTTTGTGGAGATTGCTGTGCTTGCGTTGTTCGATGCGAGTCCCATCACATACACGGTGTGTCCAGGATCCATTGGGAGTCTTTTTTTTTAATTTTACCCTGCAATGCCATCTGTTGGCGAGTTGTGGCATTAAGATTCTTGAAGTTTCAGCTGTGGCTGTCTATAATTTCAAAGCGCAAGTATCGCTGCATCGTGTGTTCTGACCTTGAATGTAACAGTACTCGTTCTGACGCTCGTCGGAAAATGGCGGTTGAACAGAGAGTCAACATGAAATTTTGTTTGAAGTTAGGCAAAACAGCCGGAGAAGCGTACGAAATGATGAAAAATGTGTACGGTAGTGATTTTTTTAGTCGCTCGAACATTTTTCGATGGTACGCTATATTTCGTGACGGCAGGGAGGACATTGAAGACGCTCCACGTGCATCAAAGCCGAGAACAAGTCGCACCGAAGAAATTGTGAAGAAAGTGACCGAAATCCTTGCATCAGACAGATGTGTTTCTACAAGACTCATCGAGGAGCTTTTGGGAATAACAAAAAGTACTGTGCATCAAATTTTGACTGAGGATTTGGGCAAACGGAAGGTCTGTGCGCGGTTTGTACCGCACACTCTGTCATGCGATGGAAAACATGCCAGAGTGGAACACTGCAGAGACATGTTACGGTCGGCCCAAAGTTATACAAAATTTACAGAATCAATTGTTACTGGTGACAAGGCATGGTGTTTTCAATATGAGCTTCTCACAAAGCGGCAGAGTGCAGCGTGGTTGAGGCCAAATAAGCCGAAATCAAAGAAAGCGCGCACGCAAAAGAGTCGAGTAAAGACACTGCTAAGCGTTGTCTTCGATTCCAAAGGAATTTCTGCCAGAAGGTCAAACAGTGAATTCTGATTATCTCGGAGCCCTCAGCCGTTTGTGGGCGAGAATTCTTCGAATTCTGCCTGAATATCGAGAGCAAGATTCCTGGTCGCTCCCCCACGACAGTGCCCCACCCCACAAATTAAAGATCGTGCGCGATTTTTTGGCCAGAAAAGGAATCACAGTCTTTGATCATCCTCCGTATTCGCCAGATTTGGCTCCAGCAGATTTCTGGTTGTTCCCAAAAGTTAAGTTGGCGATGAAAGGCGACCGTCACGACGCCATCCAGGACATCCAAAGGGAATCTACCTCAGTTTTAAATGCGATTCCACAAAAGGAGTACAGTGACTGTCTTCGAAAACTTTTCAGTGGATTCCAGCTATGTATTGATTCAGAAGGAGACTATTTTGAATGAAAAGAGTAAAATTTTGAAAATGATTCACGTCTTGTATTTTAATGAACACAGTCCTAACAGAGCCTGGACACACTGTGTATTCATGTTTTTCGTCTAGCTGGGCGTTGCCCCGTGTTGCGTTGTGTGTTCAGACCAGGAGTGTTGCATGTAAGACGGAATATCAGATATAGGTATCTGTTAATTAATAAACAAAGTGCAACAGAATGCTACAGTATAACCTTAAGATGATTAAGGTTTAACACCCCACCGATCTTCATATTCTGTATTGGATAATTAAAATATAAATGTCTAGTTTCCAAATTAATGTGTATATGTGACGTTTAATTTCGGATGATCATTTCTGTTGCAGGTAGCCGAGGCGATGACGAGAGTGATGGCGTTGTTGTGAGTACCTATATCATGATTAAAGTACAAAAGTTTGTCCTTGTGGTTGTCATTCTGTCTCGTTGACGCTGTTGTCAAAGTGGAATGTAAGCGAGGTCGGGACATAAATAGGAAATATTTGTCATTTGACATGATAGTGTCAGTAAGATCTTATCTACCCCCAGAGAGAGAATGCGCGCGCGTGTGTTTGGGGGGGGGGCGTGCATTAATTAGGTACCTTTTAAACAGATTAAACTGGAATTATCTGATATTGTATGTATACTTAGTATGCACCAATATAAAATAGCCGGTCACGGTAGCCGAGCGGTCTAAGGCATGTACTGTCTTCGCTCGCTCGGAAGCCGGGATCGTGGGTTCGAATTCCGCACAAGGCTTGGATGTTTGGCGTGTGTTTGCGTTTATTCTGTGTTTGTGTCGTCAGTTATTTAGGTAGAGGCCTTGCGACGAGCTGATGACCCTTCCAAGGAGTCCTACCGTCTGTAAAAATGATCAGTGAAACTGAGAAATCAGCTCTGTGCTCTAAAGTTGGAGTGAGAGGGGAACAAAGTAATGCGGTAGAAGACATGAGCGTCAGTGCACATTTGCAAGATGCACGGTTCGCTTTTTTATGTTGGTTATAAAGGAACTGTCAGTATTAAGCGGCCTCCGTAGTCTAGAGGTAACGTTCCCACCTCATGACTCGTGGAACGCGGGTTCAAACCCGGCGGAGGTCGTCGAATTTTTAAGGGCGGAAAAATTCAGGGAACAAGTCCTCCGGGAGGGACTTTAAGCCGTGTGTCCCGTGTCGTAGCTTTACAGCACGTCAAAGAACCTCATATCTCCAAAGGAGGTCACTGAGCCAAATTCAAGGACGTTTCCCGCCCAAATAGTCTCTAACACCTCTGATAGATGGGGGAAGCGTTATAGATACCGCCAAGCTAGTGGAGGCCGAACTCGCTGGCTCGGTCGGGACTGATGGTACGCACCAATATCCGTAGGATATAGAGACTGGTAGACTATCATAGAGGGAAGCACAATGGACCAATACTGGTCTAAGTGCGTGGGGAAACCCACCCTCTCCAATAACTAACTAACTGTCAGTATTGATACTGTATAGCTTGCATGGCAGAGAAGAATGTAATGGCGTTTATAGTGGATAAATGGGTCACAATTTGAAATAATTGTCTCAGGATTTCGTGTGTGGGACATTTGTTCCACCCATATGGCAAAGACCGCAACGGGGCATGCTTCGGCAAACTTTTCTAGGATCCTTATTTTCGGAATGGATGACTTCCTGTGCCCTTAATTCTCTACAAATCTCACATCGCCACATGTAGGTTTTCTACTGTTCTTGTACACCGTGGAACTCTCTGAAGGATGTTTGCAGTCTTAACCAGGACCTGAAGCGTGCCTTCAGTGTTTTGGCTGTCACTTTGAGCATGTTTTGTGAATGCAGTTCTCTAGTGTAAACATGATTTGTTGCTGTAATAAAACATTTAGGACAACGTTTTCAGGGTACTTTATTCTGTACGGTACGTTCCAGGTGAGTCTGAAGACTGACAGAACCTTCCCATAGATGATAAATATTCTTCCCAACACATGATGCGTCTTAAAACAGGAACTTAAACCAATCTCAAAAAAGCGTTATATCTCAGGAGGCGGAACTCTTCATAACCACCGCTGCGAGAACCTCAAAACAGCAAGATGCGCACCTCGCGATCCCCCCCCCCTGAGGGCCTGATTTTCTAGACTAGCGAGAAATACATATGTAATTATAGCATAAATGTTTATGACAGCCGTTTGCAGCAAAAGGTGAAGCTAACGGTCTCTGTGTTCAGGGAGCGCAACGCCATAGGGAGTGGAGGTTTTGCTCTACGCATTGTAAGTCCCGGGTGCTGTATCGCCAAGGAAAGAGCCTTTGTACGCACTAGATAAGTTGGGTGAGCCCCAGCTCTGGTTTGAACCTGGTGAGGAAAGAAAATACATTTGCCCTTGACGGGAACCGAGTCACAATTCGTTGGTCGTCAAATCCAGAGTCTAGGTACTGTGCAGACTGCAGTATCCCGGCTGCCCTGCAGAGAACGGAAAACTTCATATTAACCAACCGTCCTTTTTGCTCTGTAGACTAATGATGCCTTCAGTATCGATCGAGGTACAATCCCGGCATTTTCTGGAGGGACTGAGGAAGACCACAGAAAAACTTGGTCAGGATAGCCGATGGTTGGTCAAGATTCTAACCCCCCCCCCCCCACTACAAGCCCAGAGCATTATCTTTAAACCAGTCTTCGGTAGCTCATGAGTATTACGCGGATAGGTGAAAGAGAGTAAGAAACAAGAACTGAGTCAAGACCCAATTTGGAAGCAGTAGAATTGCTCTCAGTACAACCAATACAGATGAACCAACACCAACAGAGCAAATAGAGTAGTGAGAAACGCTACATTTTTAGGACAGGAACAAACATTTTCCAAGCTTGGTAGATTCCTTGGCAGTGCCTGCTTGTCCTTTTGGTAGAGGTATGTTTGAGAGAGGGTAAAGCTTTGGGTGGTAAGGCTGCATGGCTATGATGTGAACTTTCTTATGAGCAGAGGAGACAAGTTGAGCGAAGGTGTTATAGCCTATGATTAGAATTAGTTTTTTTTTTGTAGTTCTGGAAACAGTTTCCTCCACTCATATTGCGGACGGCAACGTAAACTGCGTTACCGATGGTGTCTGCCGTTCCAATTCCAGCACAGTGCCTTTGGTGGAAAAACAGTAGTCATCATTAGTCAGTGTGAGAAGGGAGGAGGAAAGATTCCCCTGCCTGACTTAATTACTGATAATGAGGAGAAACCTGCATCAATGTACATTTGGATAATGAGCGAAGATATGACTGTAAACAAACCACTTCCCACTCAACCAAATGTTGGCATTACTAGACTCTGCTTCTAGACGGTTCGAACCCATCGTTCAAAACCTGGGAACCCTGACTAAAGGAAAGTACTGTTACAGTAGAAGCAGAATTTTGATAAGGAGCCTGGATAATATAGATTTTTTTAAATGCCTTCCAGGTTGAAAGGTTTTTGAAAGTTACTAATACAAACTGACCAGCGCTCTTCGTCCTGTTAAAATAAAGAGTAGTATAATGCAGTAAAAACAACAATTTGATGGTCTACCAGCCAAGGATGACTGAATAGTTTGAAACATGTAAATTTTTAGATAAAGTGTTAGATACTAAATTATTTTATTGATGGTCATAAAGATGTAAAATAGAATTTTACTTATAGCGTAATATAAAAGACATCAGGATGCAAAAATTAAAAGAAAAGTTAAAGATAGACTTTGCTCCATGCTTCATGATGGCATTGAACGATCAAGGTAACTGTAGCTGAATCTGGGAACAGTTGTTCCAAAAAGAAAAGTCAAGCTTCCAAGGATTTGCCTAGATCACGTAAAATTTCCATGGCTGTTCCTGACCGGGTAAGGATGGAGCCTCTCCAGTGGCTTCTGTATGAGTTCCCTGGGAACTACTCTGAATTTTGCTGCTTAATGTTGAATTAGTTCAAATGCAGTAGCACAAGATTATACAACATTCATCTATGAAGGGATTGCTTTCAGAACCACACAGTGCAGGCTAGTAGAGGCGTTAAGAAATGTGATGGGCTTGGAAATGAAAAGTTAACACCACTTAGAACAGTAGTACCCGCCATATAACCTGGAAGCAAAACAGACATGAGTAAAGCCAGGAAACCCCACCAGCATCAACAAACCACAAATTCAGTATTCTCAAAGACGTTTAAATTATTGAACCCCCACAGAGCACACCTCTCATGTTCCATGTCAGATGCAGTGTAACTTCTGTTACAAGTATATACATATTTCTAGGTTCAGTACAGCATGCCAATAAGTTTCAGCTTGTGATAGAGTCTTGTTATTATGTTTGGGGCATGCGGTAGCATAGTGGTTAAGGCACTATGCTACAAGTCAGAAGGTTGCGGGTTCAAACACCGATGAGGTCGTTAGATTTTTTCAGTTTACCTAATTCTTCCAGCCGCACTATGGCCCTGGGGTTCACTCAGCCTCTAACAGAAATGAGTACCAGGAATTAAATAAATAATTTTCCTGGGGAGTAAGGCTGACAACCTTACTGCCATCTTTGAGCTGATTGTCTAGATAATGTGGGACCCTCAACATCTCACAACCCTATGGGCCTTCACGGCCTGTTACTGGGATAGCTTTACTTTTTTTTTTTACTTGTTATTATGTTTAGTTGTGTGATGAATGAATGGTAATATGACTACAGTTATGCCTGTTAGTACAGATAAAGATAAAATTAAAATATAGTTCGCCTTGTGCTTAATCAGTGAAGCACCACTTTATGAAAGTGTATGGGAAATCGGAGGTGTAACTCCATGCCTTCTTAATTTTGACACTAGGAGGAAGTGAGTGGTCAGCGTCATGCCATGGACACTTTACCTCCCCAGGAAAACAGACCCTTGTATCTATTGGATAGGTTTGTGGGCCCCATAGTTGGTTTGGGAACATAGGTGAAGAGAAAATTGCCCCTGCCCAGAATCGAACACCTCTCTGACCTTGTAGTTAGTGGTCATTGGCATTGCCACTCTGACCAGTAGCTAAACCATTGAGTGACTACTATTGATATGAACAGTTCAGACCATGATTAAATGTGCTACAGGTTTCACTTCCCCATAAGCCTTCATGGTGTAGTGCTTAATTCGTTGAGCACAGGGATATCTTTACCTTTTTTTTTAATTCGCTTAGTGGGGGCTGGAGTCCAACTGGGTCCATTCAGCACGGTGGCCACTGATTGGCCTATTAACCTGCCCTGGATGATTATAATGATGGAGAATTTGGTGGAATGAAGATTGGCAGGGGAAACCGAAGTACCTGGAGAAAACCTGCTCCAGCGCCACTTTGTCCGCCACAAATCCCACTTGACCGGACCCGGGATTGAACCCGGGCCGCTGTGGTGGGAAGCCAGTGACTAACCGCTTGAGCTATGGCACGGCCTACATCTTTACCTAACCTTATGGGTTTCATAATTCTGTAGTGTAAGCCTGTTACTTTTTTATGTTAAATTTAAATTTAGAGTAACCCCTCTGTTTAGTTAAGTAACCCCTGATATTTGAATAATATTGTTAAATTGTTTGTGTTTATTTGCATTTTAATAAATAGGTTGCTGTGTTAGATCTGTTCACTAGTTTAAATTAACTTTGATTGTTTAATAACCAAGGAAATTAGTTACATCTTGGTGTGGCGAAATAAGACAAACTTTCAAGAGTGAATGAATGCTTGGTATGATTTAAATGTGGTAATATGCTCAGTATATGAGTTCAGATGTTCAGAGTTACAAAACAGAGAATCTTTATCTTGTGAAATAATCTGATACCATCCACCTTTTGACGTGCTATAGCAATTTTAATTAGTCTTGAATTTTTATATTTTATTAATTGCATGAGATGTTTACTGCATGAAATCGTTTACTATGATTAGACCACGGATATATTGCTCTTTTGGAAAGGAATATTTTTCGGCCTTTGAGGACTAATCCCTGGTGATTGTAGTGGGGACAAGGAATGACATTCTGGGAAGCACCCTTTAAGAAGTCCAGGATTGCTGCTTGACACTGCCCTGACATAAAATTTTCTTTTAAAAACCATAGAAAATCAGAGGCAGTTGTTTAAACTTGGTATTATTTTTGGCGTAACATGGCAAAATGCATCCATATATGACTGAAATAGATGCATACAAATGAATTACATTTCTGCCATCACCATTAGTTGGTCTACTCTCTGGAGCCAGAATATAGTGCAGTCTCATGTGTTTGTTTGCTCACAGAAGTCTGCAGCAAAGCGAGCAAGCAGTGTGCCTAGACGAGGAGCATTTAGTGCAACTAAGTCTGTCCCATCCACACCTGGTGAGTAACATTTGTGTTTTGAATTACCTGCTATCGCACATCACTGAATATTTACATTATAATCCTTGGTTAATGGTTGCCGTCTTGTTCTGTTAATTCATGGTTCATTTAAGCATGCTATTAGTAGCTCAGACTTCAGGCCTTTAGCATTGAGTGAATGAATAATGAATTGGTATGAATGTGGAAGGACGTGATCTTAGCCTAATTTTAGGTATTACCTCAACCTTTGCCTCAACAGACCGAAGATAATCACAAAACAGATGAACATTATCCAAGCTGAGATTTGAACCCAGGTTATCCCTAAAACAAAGAAGCACTGCAACCCCTACAATTATTTAAAATTCTGCTTTCACTACAGACACATGAATTGATTGTGGTTTCGTTATACTTGAGTTGCGTTAATGTTTGCATGTTGAAGCTGTAAGGAAAAAATAAGTGGTCTTTATTTTCATTTCATTAACTGTATGCATTGAATTAAACTCTGATCTCTTATAACATGCCGGTCTAGAAACCTGAAATTAACTGCCATGGGAATTTGTTGCACTGACCACACGACACCTTCTATCTGCAAAAGTTGGCACTAACTTTGCCGACAAGCGGTGGTCGCTTGGTCGGTATAGTTCACTTACTGACTAAAACCACAGAGTTTTTCTTGTTCTCTTATAACATGAAACTGGTATTTAATACATTTTATGATGTATCAGTGACTTAAGCAAGGTTGTTTAGAAAGGGTTCAAGCACAGCTGCAGCTGGAATCAAATTGTCAAGTGAATCTCTGCCTTGAGCATGTTGCTGAGCTACTGCATTTATTGCACAGATCCAGACTCAAGTGATATCTTGCATGCTGATAACTACTGCAGGTGCAGTAAGGATTAAGAAGCAGTAGTTGTTTGTGTTTCATACGCCTTTGTGGTGTTCAGGCACTTGTGATGTAAGTCATCCTGACGCACAGTGTGCTGTAAGTAAGGGAGTGTTACTGAACAGTTCCATGTTTTCTGCCAAACTTCATAGGTATCTTGAAACTACCTACCCAGAATGCATGATATCATCATACAAATGTCATTGTCATTTTAAATGTTGCATCATATCAAAATTGTTCGTGCAGTTTCAAGTTTGTTGTTTTTATTTCTCCAGAAAAAGAAAGCATTATGTTAATAAATTTGAAATTTCCATGGTTCTGTCTCCATCTGGAACTTAAAGACCCACACTGACTGATTCTAGCATTATTAGCAGCTTGTTTGTTACATGTTATCAAATTAATTTGCATAGCCACCATGTGACTTTGATGAAAATGAATTTATGAAAGTGCAGATATATACATATTTCATAAAGGACAGTAGCAGAAAATTTCAAACACATCTGCAAGATTGGTCAAAAAATTTGGAAAAGACTGGCATGTTGACTTACAGAAAGAAGGATGAGAGGAGTGTACACTGCTTTGTGCCTTGAAGCATGTAATGTACCTCTTACAGTTTAATTGAGAGAAAACATTGAATTGAATTCTAGATATAATTAAATTGTAGTGCACTCAATTTCACCTGTTACTTCACGACATGTTTCGGCAACATAGTGCCATCATCAGGTGCCCTAATTACGCTAAGCTATTGCATTGCTTGCCATTATATATCTTTGTAAAATTATTTTAAAAAGTGCGTATTCGTCAACTATAATAAATTTACACACACTAAAACTTGTTAAGATTATTCATCTTATGTGTTTTAATTAAAACTTGCATGTGGCTCTTCCACTATGGGGGTCATTTTTCTTATATTCTGTGTAAACCGTGTCTTGTGATGTGTGTTCCCTTTTTAGCTGCGAGTGTTGTAATCACTCGCAGCTAATATATATTCTGGAAATGTGGCTTGGATGTGGAAAAAAGAGAAACATGCAAAATTTTGGTAGTGAAATTACTTGGAAGATAGAGAAAATAATAACCAAAGTGGATTATAATTGCTGTGGTACTCTAGATTGAATTGAACTGACTGAAAGGAGGGGGCTGTTTTGCAGTGTAGCACACTAATGTATGGGAATAGTGGCTTGGTGCAGTGCTGCTGTGTGTTGAGAGCAAGTACTCGCATGATGTATGTGATTGAGATGCTTAAGCAGATTGTAAGACACCTGGAACCCATCAGCTGCACATGCATGTTGACGTATTTCTCTAGAGATTTACGCCTGAATTTGTACCTGAAACTTAAAGTGCTTAACTTAGACATGCGTAATATTAGGAGCTCTACTTTACATGCCCTCCATCCAATGATGATATCCAATACTGAAAAAAATACAAAACAGAGGTGTAAAGAATCCCTTCTAAATAAGTGTTTTGTGTGTAAATGATTATAACAGTCCTCTTGTACAGAGAGACATCTTGTCATTTTGAAATGCTGCTTGCAGCTGTCAGCTGAGTAAAACACTATGCCAGCAGTCATGAGAAATATAAATGTTTCTTAGCAGAATAATTCATACTTGTGAAATTTATTTCTCATTAAAATCTGAAATAGTTCCATAAGAATTTAGTATCATGTTTTGCATATATACTCGTAGTGTCTTTGGGGGCTGGTACACTCAGATTTTATTTAATGACCTGGAAATTTCTGCACCAGGGGAGTCTAATTACAGCAGTCATTATTTTGCAAAGTCATAACACAACTTTTCGAGATCTGGATGGTCCCTACTTTTAAGAAAGGAGGCCTATGTCTAAATTGGTGAATTGGCTTTGCTGATCGGTTCTAGGAGGCTTTGAGTAACATTGTGCCATACACTAGGTGTGTCTGTTTATGTTTGTGTTCTGTGCTAACATGTTTCTTACATCCTTTGCCCCTTTCCTTCTGTGTCCCATCTTCTTCTTGGATTGCTGGTGCTGATGCTGCATGCTGAACAGCTCCCACTGGGACTGGGAGCAAAATATGCAGAACATCCTCCCTGCGACGGGCAGCATCATCTGCAGGAGGTATGTACAGGTACTTACTTAGTCTGCTTTTCTGCTTAGTCCCTGTGCACTGCCAGTGACAACATGTTCTTGGATTTCTTATGGCGTTACTTTGATGTTTCTTGTTCTGGTCCTGTGAAACAAGTTAATGAACAATAGTTTTATTGTTTCCAGATTTTGTGTTTCATACAGTATAGTTTTTTAAGGTTAAAGCAAGCAGGTACAGTAAAATCTTGGTTATCTGAATTCCCATCCAACCAAGAACATTTTCAAAGAATGAGAGTGAAATGGGTGGGTGCATGGGGGAAAAGATAAATATGTACAAAGATTTGGTTAGAAAATTCCAAGGGAACAGACCACTAAGGAGACCAAGGCATAGATGAGGCAGTGTTAGAGGAATAAGGTACCAGGTGATGACTGAACTGCTTCTGCTGAGTGTGAACATGACGATGAGCTGCCAGGTTACATACAATCAGGGAATTTCTTTGTCAGCTGAATAAGTATCAAATTGTCAGTGGTGACCCTATAGCAGTGGCTTGGTTGGTTTGATTACTTTTGTGCATCATTCCAGTATGAAACTTCTTTGGCCTTCCGCTTCACTGTGTTTTATAATTTGACTCAGTAATTCCTACTGCTCTGTGTACATGGCTGGAATTGTGTAATGGAGAGTGGGCACCTTAAGGTCTTCACAGAATTTCTTGTTTTATAAGAGAAATTACTTCCTTCCATTATACATAACAGCAAACATTAGCATGGTCTCGACATTGTTGTTGCACCTGTGTTCCTCACTTTTTGAACTAAAGAAGAAAATATGTGAAGTGATACATTGTCTAATAGTGTGTATCATACATTAATTTATTTTTAACAGGCCAGGCTGGTGCAGTGGATGAAGAGACATTCAGTAAAGCATTTGAAGATGTTCCAACACTTCAGTTATTCTCTGCACGAGAGCTAGAAGAACAACTGACGACAATACGTGAAACAATTGCTGACCCCAACAAGGACTGGTCAAAGAGGGTGGATGCAGTGAGTAGCACTAAATCATCATTCTTCATTAGCTGAGGGCTGTGTGTCCTACTAAGGTGTCTTATTCTGCAGTTTAGGTGTTGTTATGTTGCCTGTCATTCAAGAAACTAAGTTTGCTCATGTAATAAACTATGGAACATTTTGGACAAGGTGTCCTTTTTAATGGCATAGAAATGTTGTAGTGACCAGGCTAAAGATATTACACATCTGCCAAGTAACAGTGAAAAAACGATTTATGACAAGTGGAAGAGTACCGCACACTGTAGAATCTGATATTTGTTTTGCCCATGGAACCAGTGTTTCTTCAGCTGTCGTTGTAATCACTGAACACCTTCTGGTCAGATAGACAGTTAGAATCTACTGCAGCTGACCACCGTCCTACAGATGCCACGACTGTCACTTGAGATGAGACCTTTGTCCCGGGGATACCGGGGCTTCAGATACCGGAATGGAAACACACTTCGGGGTTTATGAATTATGGGGTCTCCAGAACCAACATCATGTGCCGTTTTAAATTAAATTTTGCCTACAGAGATTGTCAATCTTTACATTAGTCCTCCTTCAAGCTCTCCTCTCAGTGATCACTCCCGTCGTCATTACTTTTATTCACACCAATTCACTCCCAGCTTGCCGGCTGTACACCCTACTCGCTACCTCCTCCTGTAACTCACTTCTCTCTTCTCTGTCTGCACTCCAACTGCCCTCCCACTCATCCTCAGGCAGCTCCCAGCCACAAGTCCCCTAGTGGCCAGTAATGGAAAACAGGAGACATCCAAGGGTCATGCTAGGCACCAGTCCTGCGTCTGTTTTCCATGATGTCTATCTTAAACCTTTTCAGGTCTCCAAGGCACACGGGCAGGCAATTCAAGACCCCCTCTGGCAGTCCCCTAGTGGCCAGTAATGGAAAGCAGGAGACATCCAAGGGTCATGCTAGGCACCGGTCCTGCGTCTGTTTTCCGTGATGTCTATCTTAAACCTTTTCAGGTCTCCAAGGCACACGGGCAGGCAATTCAAGACCCCCTCTGGCAGGTCAAATCATGGATTTATCACTCAAAATCCTTGCCTGTCTTGACAGAAGATAACACTAGGAGTAAAGTGGTGACGTTAAGCAGCATAAGCCTAAGGAGGACTATGTTGAATTACAACTAGACGGCCCCGGGTTGGTACCTCATCATAGGAGTGCCTCTTGGGGTGTGAAAAAATGCATAAACTGGTCATTCATTTCATCAGTAATCAATAAACTGGTCATAACCACAGTTAAATAATTTTCAGTGAGGGAAGTACGGTTACACTACAGACTTTGTTCATACGTAGGTTCCTTTTGTTGAATTTCAGAACTCAATATGGTTATAGATTAAATCGCTGTCTTGCTCATTTCCACGAGTAGAACGGGTAGAGGGGATTGACATGCTCGGAACATCCTGTCAGTAATCTTCAATGAAGTTACCATTCACTTAACACTATAAATCATGATGGTAATTAATGTAGATTGTAGCTGTATTTATTTACATGTAGTTTATTTAATGATGATGTCAGTAACTCAGATAATGCAACATAGAATGATTGGATGATAGTGGATAATAAATTGGAGGGGATATAGGAGGAACTGGTCATGGCCTAATTTGAGGAACTATCCCATGATTTATCCGGAGGGACTGAGGAAAGCCACAAAACACCTGTCAGGATAGTCTCTGTCTTGGCTGAGATTTGAACTGGGAACCTCTAGAATACAAGTCAGCAGCAAGGAGCATTACCACTTGAGTCCTCTTGCTTGGTAGTTAACGTAGAAGTAATACAATTTTTTAAATACAGATTCTTGTTTTTCAGTCTTGTCTTATATGCAAACCGCCTGCCATTGACATAATATTTGAAACAAAGGGTGATATATGGGATTTATGTGATTCTCAAAATGTAGAATGTTTTAATAGCCTTTATTCTGTTGGTTTGCTAGTGAAGGGGTGTTGTGTATTCCTGCAGGTGGGAGCAGAATTTCAAAGTATTACATTAATAATGCAGCAGTTTATCATATGGGCTGTTAGCCTTTCTTCAGAATACCTCCGCCAAAAATGAAAACAAAGCAGTTAGTTTGGGACTTTATTACTGGTGTTAGTCATTCATTTCATTTTCGGTGAATAAGTTTTGTCAACATGCAGTACAGGATAAAATATCGTGCATACGTATGGTGGCAAACTGCATTCACTTCCCAACCGTTGACATGTTGGTGCTGCTGCCTTTGTAAATTTATTTCATATTTTTGACCATATAAAGAGATTATAACCTGAAATAATGGCCAAAGGATCAAATGCTTTTTAAGAGTTAAGTGAAGAAACCAGGTACAGTATTGTATGAGAACTGAACTAGAAAAGTGCGTACTTTTAAAAAGGAACAGTACAATTTAAATTTTAAATTTCTTTGCATAGAGGAATTGTGAAAGCATTTTCTTCTTTACTTGACAGAATTTCATACCATAAATTATGTGCCTGATTTTATCCCACGGCACTCTACTTTGAGACACCACGCTTCCCTAAAAAGAAGCCGTATATTAGTTGTGGAAGTGACTATATGTAGCAAGTAAACATAGTGTCATGCTTGATAATTCTAAATTTCACCACTAGTGTACTTTGCTTTGCTGGGCTATAATTTTTATGTTACAAAATGTATATGTTTACAGGTATTATAATTGAGCTTACCAAAGAATTCTCATTGATGATGGGGATCAGAGTTGTCTGCTATTGCAGCCTGCTTGCTGACATCTCTCACCTAGCACTAGTGTAGAGTAAGCAATTCGATGAATAAGAGTGAGTGGTTGTAGAGTAAAGGGAGGAGAGTAGATGGAGTGCAGGACAATTCATGAGAATTCTTTGCATGACTCCATTTCAACAAGAGCAACAACAATAATTTGTCTTGGACTGTTATTTGCACTGCACACTGACCACTGTGAGACAGGTGGCTTACTGATTCCTGGAAAACTTTCTTATGTTTTGTTAGTCCATGATTCAGAAAGGTTTGGTAGCCACTGGGTTGAATGTTAGTTATTAGAGTGTGATGTTCGTCCATAGCTCAAGAAAGTGCGATCACTCCTGATTGCTGGGGCAGGAAATTTTGATGAGCTGTACGTTCACCTCAGGTTATTGGAGCCACCGTTCCAGACATCTGTCAAAGATCTCAGGTATGTCATCACAATGCACTGTCACTGGAATAAGATAAGAAGGTTATGTGATACATAGAAAGTGAGAAAATGAGTTTCAGCCTTACTTACTGAGAGAGAATAACCCAAATGGATATTGTTATTGAACTGTTGTTTGTTCACTAGCATAAAACCATGGGAATTGTTAAAACTAAATTCTTCATCAATATTCAGACTCAGTAGTTTAAAGAGTTCTGGAAGTGTAGCTACATTTGTGCTATGATATGAAGCTTGATAGAGTAACAGCGTACACTAAATGAGTCTGCAATCTAAAGGAAATGTTTGTTTGAAGGTTCTTTGTAAAGACAGACTTCTTCAGAAACACTGAACATTTCTTGTTTTTCAGTTTCTTTTAGACACAGCATCAGTAAATGACACTCGATGGTTGACTGATTTTTTTGGGCTCTCAGGTACAACATAAACACTGAAAGGTACCATAAATTCACTAACGTCTAGTATTTCAACATTACCACCATGAACTCAGGGCTTTTTTTGTTTTTCACCATGTACCTTTGTAATCTCTCCTTGTATCAGCATGTAACAAAAAATTATACTGAATAATCTCAAATGCAACAAATGGGTGGAGCCTTAAAAATAAACATCTGTCTCTAGCTTCAGTCTTCCACTGATCTGCTCTTATACACTGAGTTACACTTTCACTGAATGTTCATGCTGTCAGCAGTGGCTCTTTTGTGCGTGTGTGTGTGTGTGTGTGGGGGGGGTTGAAAACAGAAGCAGTCTCAAAAGTCTCAGTAAATTTCTACCAAATTACATGGCATCACATCATAGAAGATAGTACTCTTTATCACCACTACCATAAGAACACTAATCCAACAGAGTAAAGTGAATTGTTTTTCTGCTGGGTGCACTACTGAGAGTTGTGCCTGGTTTGTAGTCTGTAACATAATATATTCATAATATATTCTGCAAGCATACCGGCATTCTCTTTCACTCTCACAATTTCTGAATCTTTGAACTTGTGAGTGAATATACTCGTAAATATCTACATAAGTGTTTGATCATTCATTTGGAAGCCTGATGTTATGAAAATGGAAGTTTTATGATGTGACCTATGAAGGCTTCGTGCTATAAATGTAATTTCAATCACAGTAAACAAGCATGGCCATGGCATATACCTACCTGCCCTTTACATAATATGCTAAGTATGTTTCCTTATGAAGATTATAATTATGCTTAAATTTGGAAACAGTTCAGTGGAGTTGATTCTGACCAGAAGTTTTTAATAAAGAAATATTCTACTGAGAGGCAATGTTTGGATCTGAAGTCTGCGGTGCAAATGTAACCAAGAAATTTACTCTAATTTCATACATATGTTTGAAATATAGGGATGCAAACGTCAGCAAAACAAGAAAGTTATAATAAACTGAATTTTAGGAAAAAAAAATAGGTTTGAAAACAAATGCAAGTGCTGTGATGCTGTATTGTTACCTTTTTGCAGATCACAGGTTGTCCGGGAAGCATGTTACACAATAGCATACCTGTCAGAGCAGTTGGGTCACAAGTGCGACCACTTTGCAGAGCATCTTCTCAACAGTCTTATTAATCTGATCCAGAACTCAGCCAAGGTGAATTAATGGCCTCATGGTACACTGAAACTACGTTATCATGACGGTTTTTCCATCTCCATATTATATCAGTCTAAGCCACAGGAAATGTAAGCTTCATCCTCCATTTTCTGCTTTAAAATGTTGCTCTCTCTATATCCTATATGATCATTTTGTATATGAATGTGGAGATAAAAGTGTCCATTAGCACTCACACTATTTTGTGTGTAATGTGAGCTTCCTTGTGTGATAGTAAACTCACTTGCATGGAAATTTCTGTCTTTGTGCTGTGTGGTCTGTACCAGCTTACTATTGTTAGGGCAGTGAAATCTAGAAAGGAATGGCTGGCTGAATGTGTATTTTGGATGAGGGATGCAAGATATACATACAGAATTTTGGAAAGAGGCCACTTGGACATCAAAACAGTGCCAAAGGAAATTGAGTTTGAGATGAATGAAACAGCCTCAGACTGGGTATGGTGACAGGTTTTGTTATTATACTGATGTTGATCCTTTCAGTTATGCTACTCCAGTGTTTGCTGTTTTTCATTTTAGAATGCCTGCTAAGAGAAAATCCCTAAAATATATTCTAATAGAGTGATTTTTATAAGTTTGGACCCTCTCACTCCTGGAAGAAAAATGGGTTGGCAACATGCAATTAAAATAATCAATTAAAATTAAAAAATCTTTCATAGCACATTCAATGTGAGTAGTATTATAGTTCTTTGGACTGTTTTATTTAAATCATTGAGGACTGGAAAATTTGCACGTTACAAGCACATCAGGGATACACTACAGGGGAAGACTAAAAGGTAATCCCTTTAAGATTTATCATTCTCAAAGTATATCCATCACATGAGCCTAGAGCAGATATTATGGTATTGTTGATAGCATTCATGTTTCACTTGAGATTGCTTTGAATCTTGGCTGATGCTCAGCTACCATCAGCATTTCTGTCCTCAGTTCGTTCAATAAAATCTTGGAAGATACTGTGGCCACTTCCTTCTATATCCTTTCTCAGTTAACTCATAATCATCCTGCCATTTAACACTGCGTGTGTCATGCAGTTGCAGAACATTAAATGAACCAAGATGCAATCAGTCATGACTGAAGCCATGAGACAAGCCACAAGGTCCCTTGTGGAATTTAAAGTTAAGTGTGGTGAAGGTTTATATATCTATGCATTTGACCTGTGCCTCTGTTGTATGTCACTGTAGGTAATGGCATCAGCTGGCTTGGTGACAGTGAGGTTTATCATTCGGTACACACATTCACCACGCCTGATTCCAATAATCACGCAGAATCTCAACTCCAAATCAAAGGATATCCGCCGGGCTTGCTGTGAATTCCTTGAACAGCTTCTGCACTCCTGGTCAACACACTCCCTGGAAAGACATATTGCACTCCTTCAAGATGCCATCAAGAAGGGCATTGCTGATGCAGATCCTGAGGCTAGGCTGTGTGCCAGAAAGTAAGTGATATTTGAGACTAGGATGAGCTAGACTGACTCTGGAACCCATTCTGCCCCTTATCCTGGTTTTCCTGGGAGCTCTTTCCCCAAGGATAAAGGGGCCAGAGTGTGAAGCTGGCAACTTGCATCTACTGCCAAAGTTATTTTTAGTGTATATATTCACTCCCTGCCACATGTCTTCCTGACATGGTTACTAATTGGCAACAGGAACAATTTTACTTTCTTTTAGAACCAGACTCATGTTGTTAATAGAAGGCATTCTGGTCCACCACACCATTGGACATCAAATAAGCAACAGCACTACTGAGTGTGACCAGTATGATTTAATTACATAGAAACCTTTACATATTTTGGTCCTTAAGAGACCATCATTGGAAGGTGCTGTTAATGTGTTAGAATGTTTTAAAATATTTTAAAATCACTTTAACTGATAATACATATATGTATATTCATCATAGAAGCTGTGTATGGCATCTTTAATGCTCAAGATATTCAGAGAATATCCTTCATCATCTGCAAATAAAATACAGATTCATATTAGATAAATGCTTATTCATATCTGGGCTGTTAAATTTTTCACCTGGAAGCAAGATAAGCTATATTATCCATGCCTTGCACTGTTGTGTCAGCATATCTGCAGTTCAGCTGGCCATGGCTCACATTATTGTGTCACTAGAATACCCCTGCATTGCAAGCCAGTTTAAGCACTTAATGACACTAATATTCTCCACTGCTCTACACAGACCTTTGCTTTCATGCTGTGAGTTGAATAAACTATGATCCTAGCAGAGTTTGAATGATTGGATTTATTAACACTTTGGTTACAACCTCTTTTAATTACCCTCAAATTACAGCGATATTGATGAGTTACACACACTTCGTACACTACAATTCCCAGTCTTCACAGGTCTCAACACAGAAACGGTAGCAGTCTCACTGGATCACGCACCCCCAGTATTACACATAAACACAGTCTTTAAATCACACTTTAAGTGTTCACGGGTCTTCTGCAAACCTCCCCTGGCTGTCTCCTATCGAGAACTCTGTCCCTGTCACTTAAACACTCTGAACTGACATTATATAGCCTCCACACTGACCATACACAGAAAACAGCCTATATTGTTGAAATGTGTGATGGCTAGCACTGTTGCAGTAGTGTGATGTCATTGCTGCTGTGCTCAAGTCTGTTTACTGAACTGTTAACCTAGAAGCGGGTTGCATAACCTTGTTGAGTGCGCTTATGCGACTGAAGGTTGTTTACAGGTCATTGTCTAGAAATGCTCTGGCCATCCATGTTACAGTACTTTATATAATTATGATAAAATAATTCTATACATAAGTAGTTAAAGCAACTTTCTACACAAATAAGTACAATTATGTAATCAGTCATGTCAGATTAATTTGTAAAATAGTATCATATGACATGAACATTGACCAAAGTTCAGTCAAGAAGTAAAGCAGTTATGATGCCAGAAGCAGCATGGTTTCAGGGCATGTTCAGTATGAAACATCACTCACCAGAGGTTATGGTTGTGTGGTAACAATTTCTCTCAATCAGATAGTATGAATGTTGATTGTTGTCTCAACCACAATTACAGTGTACATACATACATACATAGCATTCCATAGATCCATGAGTTAGTCAGATGACCTACCGGATGTGGAATTTGTCAAAAATCGTACAATACATATATACATGCACAATTCAATTTCACATAAATAGTAAGGATTTCACAAAAGTAGTAAAATATCCATCATAAATCCATACATTAACATATACTAGATTTTTTTTTTTCCCCTGTGTTCCAAACAAGAGAAAACATTACATACACTTTATGTTGTTTGGAAGCATAAATTCCTCAACAGAGTAAAAGGAGTGTGTAATTAAGTATCTCTTTAGTGCTACTTTAAATTGTCCCTGTTTATCTATAAGAGTTGTGATATTTGGTGGTAGATTGTTGAAGATTTTAATGCCAGTATAATATGCACTCTTCTGGAAACAAGAGAGGCTGGCAACTGGTCTGTGAAGCTGATTTTTATTCCTTGTGTTGACATTGTGTATTGTAGAATTGGTTGGAAAAAATTCTTGGTTTTTTACAATGAAGATCATTAAGGAGAATATGTATTCACATGGGAGAGTTAAGATCTCTAGCCTCTTGAAGATATTTTTACATGATTCTCTTGGTTTAACACCAGCCATTATTCTAACAATTTTCTTTTGTAAGATGAATATCTTCTGGCTGTAAGATGAGTTACCCC